CACTTATTCCACTGAGCCATCTCCCCAGCCCAAAAATATCTTTTCCCCCCTCTCTTCATCACTTCATCCAACAGATACTGAGTTTAGACCAAGTGACAAGTACTATGCTATAAGCATTAAGGAAGTGAGTATTGGCAAGACAGTTTAGGTGACCCCCACAACAGATGAAGGAATACAGAAACAGTGGTGATCAGAAAATACAGTGAATATTAATTTTTTTAAAAAGTATTACAGTAAAATACACATTGCTGTTAATCCACCTCAAGGTACCCTCCCTCGTGTTGATCACACTTGCCATTACTGCCACTGCCTGAAGCAGTCTGAAAGTCTTGTTTTCATGAGTGTCTTCACTGGATATGATAAAAAAAAAAATACAGTAAATGCTGCTGCCCACTGCCGGCCAATAGAAAGGCAGGTTCATGAAAACATTAGTATGTCTTCATCCGCCTCACCAGATCTGGTACTGTAAGACTTCTGGCTCTTTCCCAAAGTCAAAATTAGCAGGGAACTGAATTGATTTGGACACACAAAGCAGCCGTGACAGTGCAACCAAAGACACTCCGGAAAAACAACGCGATAAGGGTGTGCTAAGTGAGGACAAGTACCTGAGGGACATGTGTTAAAGTTTTAAAAAATTGAAGGGGCTGGGGAGATAGTTCAGTGTTCTAAGCGCCTGCCTGGCAAGCAAAAGGACCCATGTTTTGTCCCTGGTACTGCATGCCATGCTAGCCACCAAACCAGGCGTGGGTGATGCATGCCTGTTATGCCAGAACTGGGGAGGCTGAGACAGGAGGATCACTATGAATCTAAGCTTAATAGTGAGACCCTGTGCCAAATAAATAAATAAATAAATAACTTACTTTTTAAAAATCTCGATATGCACTATATGTTTTCTCACACCTCATATGTGCATCTCATCAACCTGAAATAATTTCTTACTAGATACTTCATCTTGTTCCCCATAGGTCACATGTATTTGAATACATCTAAGGAGGTTTTCTGACAGAGAGTCATCAGAGTGTTTTTTTTTTTCTGGGGCCAGGGAGATAGCTCAGTGGAATAAGTGCTTGCCTGGCAAATACAAGGTCCTGAGTTTGATCCAAGGTACCACAAAAAAAAAAAAAAAGATTCTTTTTTTCTATAAAGAAAATCTGGTATATGAAAAAATGTTATGTTGCCACCATTTTTTATGCCTCTATTTTTCCTTTTAGTGACATTTCATAGGAATCTTATGAAATGTTTTATGTCCTTAAATCTTCACTATTTCTGTTAAGCCACACTTTTTTCCCTTCAGAGACTCTTCTTTAACTAATAGATTTGTTTCATTTTTGAGATAGGGTCTTGCTGGCCTTGAACTCACTATATACCCCAGGATGGCTATGAACTCATGGTAATCCTCCTGCCTCAGCCTCCCAAGTGCTGGGATTATAGGCATGCATCACCACATCCAACTAATTACTAGTTTTTAAGAATTGCTTCTATATCCACTTCTTTTCCCTCCTAGAAACATATTTTGATAGGTCATTCATTGGAGGAACAGTAGGGGGCCTCTAGATTTCACCAGTAGAAATACTAACATATAAAATGCATTTTAGAAAGTGTGCAGAAAGGTAACAGTACCTTGGATTAGGTGATTAGCATTTACTGTATTACCTTGGAAAGTTTCAAACTCACCTAGCGTATGCATCTTTTATTTTATTACACAGGTTTATTGTGCGGATTCAGTGGTTATGTTGCACACACACAGTGCATTGTGTGGCACAGGAAGAACTCAAAGTTTGGGTTTTTTTAATTTAGAAAAATAATGATGCTATCCATTAAAATCAAATAGCATAGTAAGATCTAAGTATCTTACAAAGCCCAGATGATACTATTTTGCTTAAACTGAGTAACTTCTATCATGTCGTATCTAGGAGGAACATGTTCTTTTCCAACTTGAAGAAGGAATCGAGGCACTGGAAGCTGCAATTGAGTACAAGAATGAGAGTATTCAAAGTCGCCAGAACTTGCTTAGAGCATCCTTTCAAAATCTCTCTCAGAGTGAAGCGAACGTCTTGGAAAAACTAATTTGCCTGAATCCTGTTGAGATTAGAGCTATTCTTTTCAGATATTTCAACAAGGTTTGTGTTTTAGGGGCCATGTTTGCTTATAAAGAGGAATCAAGATGCTCCCCATGTTTATATTGACTCTTGAAATAAAAGGCTCAAATATTTGATGGCAGAACTACAGCTTTACCCGTGATTTCTCCTTCTAGTGCTGAAAGTTGTCATCTGAAAGCTCTGCTTATCCAAATGTATTGGCCTAAGTTGGTGAAATGCTTAAAAATTGGAGGGCATTTTGATAGGCCTCTTTGCAATAGTCTTTAAAAAATCAAAAGAATTTGAATTGTTTTTCTCCCTTATTATTCCTTGGTTCTAGATTTAGATGTTTCTACACATCATTCATGAAAAATTAGGGGGCCCTCTAAGTTTGATTCCTTTTCCTTCATGGCTGTAGGGTCAGGTAAACCTGTTCTTTCTCATTAAGTGAACTTCAGTGGAGATGAGGTGGTACACGGTAACCATGAGAATAATAGGTTTTATTAACCTGAATGTGCTTAAATTAATTAAAGCAGTTTAGTTTACATACAATTAAAATTGAGTTAAGCACATTCTGTATATGTAGTTTACTATATGTGCATTTAACAATTTACTGATCCAGAGATGTTTAATAGCACTGAGAAATGTATCCATCTTTTCTTTATAACCTGTTTTCCCCTTAAGATTATATATATGAAGTGTCAAATAATTGGTTCCTTTTTGTGAAATTTTATAAATCATACGACTATCAGACATTGAATAAAAAACATTGAAGTTCTTAAAGTTCTAATTGTATAAGACCAAAAGAAAATGTTACAGATGGCCTCCTCTTAGAGAATCACTGAAGCAGTGAGCTGTGTTGTTGAGGAGTGTGTATCCTATTGCTGTGTGTGCAGAGCACAGAGAACTGGTGCAGTGCTTTCCTCGGTGTGGATGTACACTTTGCAGTACGCTTAAAGCAAAGTTTCTTAACTCGACATTCCTAGGTTAGCATGGTAGATTTCCTCATCCTGAGAAAAACCTTTATCAAGTAAGTATTGATCTGGAGAGGCCATCAGATTATTAACCAGGTCTTGGTGTACACAGTGTGCTGAAATATATTTACTTAATAATTTATTACCAGCAGAGAAGAATCTAGTGGCCACATGTAGGACCTGAGGCTGAATCTCTGTGCTTACTTATCTATTTTGGCTTTAAAGCAGGGAGTTGCCTACATGTTGCAAGAGTCTTTAGCATTTCAATACCCGCACAGACTAGAGAAGCAGTTACAGAATTATAAAATGTAAATTATAGAGATCATATCTAAGAATTCTTGAGGGGCTGATTATTAGACTAAATTATATTGAAAATAAAAGTGTTACAAACTCAGAATCCCAGCAAATTAAAAAAGCTATTAGGTCACTTTGTGAGTACCTTATAAAGCTTCTGCCAGAGGACCTTTATATGGAAATACATCTTTATGGAACCCCCAGAAGAGTAAATTGATTTATTGTATTAGGCTAGGATACAAATAAAAGGTCAAAAATGTCTTTTCTAGGTGGTTAATTTACGAGAAGCTGAACGGAAACAACAGTTACAGAATGAAGAAATAAAAGTGAAAGTTCTGGAAAGGGATAATACGATCTGTGAGTTAGAATCTGCACTGGAACATCTGAAGTTACAGTGTGACCGGAGACTGACTCTCCAGCAAAAGGAGCACGAGCAGAAGATGCAGTTGCTGCTGAACCATTTCCAAGGTGACTGCTGCTCTTTCTCAGTTAGCAAATTGGTAGAGGGGGGTATCAAGGAAAGCATTTGAGCAAGTCGATCGAGGAAAGAAGAGGAATAGAAATTAAAAGGCTGACAGGTATAAATAGTTTGGCTACCATGTTTTGGGTTAGTTGACTTTGATGTAAGGCTCTTGGTGCTTGAAGATCATCCCTCTGCCTGACCCCAGGGCATGTGTGTGTGCGAGCCGCGCGCACGCACGCACACACACACACACACACACAGAAAAACTGCTGCAACCCTGTTATTCTGTGGCTAGTCTAGTTTTTATGTGGAAATGTGGGATGACTTCTAGATTTCTGATGTACATTGAAAATGTTCTCTTAGTACTATAGAACTATAATACTTAAATTATTCATCATATTCTTAGTGTATTTCTTGTTACATTTTTCAGTTAATTGTAACACTTTATGCATTAAGATTGTATCTTAAGTCAAAATTAGTGTAACACTGATAGGTACATAGTGTGGTCACCAGCAGCAGTTCAGCCATCCACACTGAAACCGAGAGCACACACGCACCAGTCGGGCCTCCCGCTACCTGGGCAGAGGGCCAGGACACAAGCAGCTGCTGTGGCAACCAAGTGACGAGCAGGTGGTGTTCAAACTGCTGTGGTGCAGGCTTCTTAGTCTTAATGCGCGTGAATCCATAGCTGAAAAGAGATCTAGCAAAAACAACCTGAGAAAGCAGAGAATTGAGAAATGGATGAAATTTCAATGTCAAGGCAAGTTTTCTCTTAAGTTACTTCTAAGCGCTTGATTGACCATCAGTTGCCCAATTACAGGATTTCAGTGGGAGGCTCCCATGTAACATTCCATTCAAGCACACTCTCCTCGACAACCTTAAAGTCTGTAAGAGTGATACTTAAATAAAAATTTTTTGTATTTTTAAAATACACCATAGCCAAATAAGAAAATTTTAAAAATCATTCATTTCTAATTATGTACATTATTTTCATAGCAAAGTTGTAACTGAGAATATTAACAGTTTGTGAATCTTTTAAACTGAATGAGTATGGTGTGATATGGATTGAACCCATGGTGTCAGGCATGCTAGGCTGGTGCTCAGCCACTAAGTTATAATCTAATTTATGGGGACTCTGATTTATGATGTCATTAATTTTAATTAATGTTCAAAATATGATGATCAATTAAGCCATATAAATATTCTTAAAATTTTATGAAACATTTGAGCATAATAAAAAATTACAAACCAGTAGAACCATTTTATAAATATCTCAATAACAGAGAATTCATCCAAAAGTACCTACCTCTGAAGGTCAGTCCAGTAGATCGTACTGTTCCAGAATAATGCTTACCTTCCTAAGTATTAAGTAGAGCCTCTGTGTTCTATTGTGGCATAAAGTAGAACTTATATTGGGTGTTTCCTTCTTATTTATCTGTGGCGTTCTCCTTTGTGATTTAATTTTGAAATCAATTTTTAGTCTCTCAAGGTTTTTTTTTTTTGGGGGGGGTGGCTGTATATCTCTTGGGTCTATAAATTCTAGGCTTTCTGACTTTCCATATAACCACAGATCCTGATATGGACTTCAGTAAATATTAATAACAGATGATGGAGGAGGGTTTTGTTTTGTTTTTATTTTTGTCTTTTTGAGACAGAGTTGCACTATGCAGTTCAGGCTAGCCTAGAACTCACTTTGTAGCTCATGCTGCCTTGAATTTATAATCCTATTGCCTCAGCCAGCAGAGTGCTGGGATTACAGGTGTGTGCTGCCACACCCAGCAATGGATGGAGTTTCAAACGTGTGAACATTTTATAGGAAATGCTCCTTCTGCTATTCTAAAGTGTTGTTAGTAGAAACTGCAGAAAAATTTTATGAATCATGAGCATGTAGTGGTTGGTAGGGGTTGGGTAGAGAAAAGAGTACCACCTTTTGAAAAATTTTATAAGCAAAAGAATTCAAACTTTAGCTGAAAACAAATCCATCCAGACAATAGGTGGAGCACACATCTGACCCTTGAAAGATAGCTGGGGCTATGTTAAAGCGTAATTTTAGACCATTTATTCTTTAAATAAAATTTAAATGTAAATGTTTGCTTTATAGAGCAAGATGGAGAAGGCATTATAGAATCTTTAAAAGTGTATGAAGATAAAATCCAGCAGTTGGAAAAAGACCTTTATTTCTATAAGAAAACCAGCAGGGATCTTAAGAAGAAACTTAAAGAAGTGACACA